ACGCGTAATATATAATGTTTTTTTATATTGGTAGTTATTAAAAAATTATTGATCTAAATATGACATTTCATGTATATAACTAGCTTGATATTTCTTGTTCATTGTCTCATTCCGCATTTTTTCTCATTCTCTTTCATGCTTTTTTTTCTTGTTTTATCCGCCTCCTTTCTTCTTCTCATGCCGTTTTTTTTTTTCATCGCGAGAATAATCGGCTAAATTTGATCGTCGCGTAACCTTACTCGAACTATACATTGCGTCGGCCTTAAAGAGCAAAGAGCGACGTCTCCTCGAAGGTCTTCAACTCCTGATTGTATAAACCTAAAAAAGGATTATACATTTAGAGATTCGTCAAATCTTTGCTAACAATAAATATATACATATATATATATAAATTACGTTCAGCCTAAAATATTTTTTTCTAAGTTCTTTGCAGTTATACAAACTCAATATTGTTCGTTTAAATATAATCTGAGATCCGTTGGATACTTATGCTATTCATATGAAATATAATTTATAAAACTTATATTAAAACTTATATTAAAACTTATATTAAATTTTAACCTCAGGTGACATTTATATCAAAGTAAATGAATTTCTATTTGTGCATATTTTAATTCTGTAAAAAAAATTTTGCAATCCGTAAAGTCAACTTTTTGGTTGCACTGTAATTCATGGTAATTGCTGTCGCTCCAGCATTCCCTTAAGAAACATGAAAAATAAAAGAAACTCAATTGTGTTTCGAATCTTCGCCTTTAGCGAAGTTATCTTGGATTCATCGAATAACCTCAACAAAACTAACGAAAGAAAAACGGAAGTCAATTGCGATCGATCGCACCATCGGAAATTCGAGCCAGTCCTCGTTTCCTATCCGTCTAGACGTTATTTCAAAACGATCGATTACATTACACAGCTATCTCATTGCGACGAACGTTAACGATAATCCAGGAAAGCCATCAAATTTCTCAATAGTACCTAATAATAATATGACACAATTTTGAATTTACGAATTTGTTATAAATTTCCACATTAGCAATTAGAGATCAAATTATGTATGTATACTTATATGTATAGGATGGCCTGTAACTAATACCTTTTAAGAACGTGTTACTAAGATAATTTTGAGTGGAAAATCCTAATACGAAAAGAAACAAAACAATTTTGGTAAAAAATTTTTATTTCATAAAATACATTTCTTTTAAAAGATCTTCAAATCTTGTTTTTTTTTTTTTTCCTTAAAATTATGTTTCTTTTCAGATATATTAAAATAAGTATTTATATATCTTAAATAAGTATTTAAATTAAACTGGATATAAATAATACTTATTTTTTTATTTAAATGTTTAATTTAAATGTTTACAATTATAAAAAGATTACTGTAGTTAATATTTTAAAAATATTTTGATCATAATTCATAGAACTTTCCAAATTCACACATTAAAAAAGTTTCAGACAAAAGTTATGTGACTTTGAGTGGGACATAGATCATAAGATAATATATACCATTAATTTGATTTTAATTTGATTATATTATACTATTATATAAGAATATGCAATGAAAAATCGCGGGTTCCATTTAAAAAATTCAAAATGTCCTTGCTCTAACTTTGATATTCAAGATCAAATACCCATGTGATATACCATCTTGTATTTTCCTCGAAGTTACATGACTTTTGTCTGAAACTTTTTTCAATCCCACGTCTTTTTCTCGAATTTCGCCTGGGAAGATTAAAATAAAACACCCTGTATATATATGTATACATATATATACACATAAATGTTTTCTCTTATATTGATTCTCTAATATTGATAACAGTTTTTAGAATAACAGTTTGCGAAATTTCACAAAAGAAGAATAAACTTTTTTAAGACCGCAAATATGAATACACAATTGAATAACTAAAAACTCTTAAAAAACGATCTAAGTTAGATGATCAGAAGTCAGCGTGCATACGTTACTGTGAATAGGTAACAGAGCATTACAGCGCAATTAAGCGCAGTACAATGACAAAGTTAATGTCACGGTCATTGTGCAATGGACACGGTGTGATCGCAATTGAACACAATTTATTCGTTCGCCCGCAACTAATCGGGTATCGTTGAATATATGTAGGGTGACGTGTTTGATATTGAGGATATTAACAATAAAAACTTTTTTTTTTGTTAACGGAATTAATGATAAATCTGTTGATATAAATCGTAAGCGATACGAATAATTGATATCATTAATGTAGCTATCTTTCTTGACTGGCGATATTTTTACATGACATTTTCGATATCGGATGTAAAATAATTGTTTGAAAATAAAATAATCGGTACATTCAGTGGCACAAGAGCATTATCCGCAGCTTCCCGAAAGAAGCAAAATATATTAAAATTTAAAGTTATATTCTAAAAATACATTATATGCATTAAATTGCATTTACTTAGTATGATGTGTTTAATCATTATTAAAAGCAGCAGGAGCTGTGACCGTTATGAACTTTATTTCCTATTGATTATGTATTCATATGTAGTTACAATAAGATTCTTATTATTGGGTTGTCCGAAAAGTTCGTTCCGATTTTGAAGGAAAATTGAAACGCAGAAGATTTAAATTTTAGTATATTTATTAAATTTAAATCTTTCGCGGCACGAACTTTCCGGACAATCCAATATATCATGTCGCCTGAAATGAAGATATTTGTTTTCACACATATACTAATTACTACGAAGAATATTACTAAGGCCTCGAAGAATATTACTAAGATGGTCTAAAAGTTTAGAACGCTCATATAGAATGCAAGAGATTCGAGTTCGATCTCCGATTGAAACAATATTTTCCACATTAAATTTATTTACAGATTTTCAGCACATTAACATCTCTCTAATGGGAGAATGATGTCTGAGAATGATTGAGCATCAAATTATTAAATTGCTTATTAATATAAGTTGTGATATCCATACCACTGTAGTAGTTCAGTTGCATTTTTAAGTCCGGAAAATCAATTCGACGCGCAATGACTACATGTATATAAATTCATATGGAAATTATTTAAATATATCTAAAATCTAACTTCGACCGTTATAGATTTTAATTCTTATTTGTTGTGTATTTATTTATCAATCAAAAATTAAACATGTGGTATCTATATTCTTATTATAGAGATTTTTATTTTATTTAACCTATCTAATAAAACTTACTGATGCCATCGCTATTAAACAACTACGAACTATCATTTTATTCTTCAAATACTTTCCATTTACATAAAGAATCATTTATACTAGCTGTAATCTGTAAGAATAGACCAATCACAGTCGAATGAGAGGGAAATAATCGATTATGATTGATCAATTCTTACAGATTACGGTCAATATAAATAATCTTTAATTTTTGTCTCTGACAACATTACGTTCCATTTAGCACTTGCAAATTCTAAATTTGTTTGTTTAATATTTGAAATAACAAAAATGAAATGATTCTGAGCGTCAAGTGGAACTCATCCCAAATCGAAATGCACGTTTAATATTTTCAGAGAAATCCAATAAAAGTCTGAAAATTTCAGAGAAAACTTTTCGAGAAAAATCGCACGATAAATCACTCTCATGATAAGTAATGGTAATACGGAAATGTTATGATATAAATTTCTACGAAATAACAAATTTGGTGCTTACTAAAGCAATTCAACTTTGTCTTAAGAAGAGACAAGAGATTTCGATGATTAAATTGAAAGCGAAATTTGCGAAAATTTATTTCAGTGAAAAAAACATAAATGGGCATAATTCTCCGTTTTGTTATTTTTATTATATATATTATATATATTTGAAAAATAAAAAATTAACTTGTAATACAAAATTTTTTGAAAATATTATATATTTGAAAATAATAAAATTTCTGTGTGTCATTGAAAATTTCGATTTTTCGATTTTTCTCATGATTCCATGAATTTTAAAGTGAATGTCCATTACTTCTTTTACTGAAATATAATCGCTTTCATCTTTAACGTTACCATACGAATCTCTTGTCCCCTTTTAAGAAATGTAAACTTGATTTATAAAATTATTGTAAGTTTCTAAATAACTATATTTAGAAATTTTAATTGGATTTCTATCAAGTCGAGTTGTTTATTTTCCTGATTATAATAACATAAATAGGTCAATATCGATAATCCTGATCTTCCGCTCTGTTGCTTCAAAAGTTTTCATTAAGCTAACTATATTAAGAAAGAAAAATGCCTGAGTGCACAAAATGACGCTTGAACAAGTAAAATAAATGTTAAGTTGCGATTGAAAAAAATTGCATAATTAAACCGTTTGTTTAACAGTGTTAATTATTAATGTGACAAAATTTACTATTGCATCAATATGTGATATGTTCAATTTTACATTTTTTTTTAAATAATAATCAGTCAGTGTCTCTTATATACATATACATCAAAGTTTTGTTCCTAATGCGTATTAACGATCGCGATCTTTTACATTTATCAAGAAGTTATCTCGTGCTAGAAAACATTTTTCATGTAAAACGCAATTTTTATGCAGCGAGATCCATCATTAAGATATCAAC